TGGCCAACAGCTTGTCTTATAATACCAAAAAAGCATTCCAACGGATCCTGGTTCATTTTGGCTGACAGGACATACTTGAACTCGCACTCTTTCAAAAGAAATGCTGACAGTTCCTGAACAGACTTAAGTGTAACACGCAGGCCTTCAGCAGTAGACTGCGTTAAAAAAAGATCTTTTTGAATTTCACACCTCACAACTTCCTGCTCCCAGCTATCAAGCCACTTAGATGCTGACTGTAGAACATGAAAGTCTTTGCTTTCAAGGGTGAGGCCTTCTGCAGCAAAGCGACGATTGAGGGCATCAAAAAGATCATTCATTAGGAGCGTAAGCTCTACAGTTGCTTCGACATTCTCAAGCCGTGGTGCGCCTCTCCGTGCATAGAAGGAAATGCCCTTAGCAACTGAGTTGCTAAAAATTTGCGTGGCCAGCTTCACTCACATTTTCAGCATATGTGATGGATTGACATGACAGAAACTCAATTTTGGGCACACCCTAAGCTCTGCTGCATTTTTGGTGTCAGCAACAAAAAGTGCATCATAGCACGACCACTTAATAATTTTCTCCTTTATTTTCAAAATTTTCTTGTCATAAAGACGATTTCTAATACACTTGAACAAGTGTGGGGTATCTGCCACGGCATACACTTTTCTGGATGGATCTAGTGGATGCTCGAAAGCATTCACGACATGTCCTAGAGCACCACTTACGCCAAGCTGCTTCCACATGGCCCTATTAGTAGATGCACCGTCACAGACCACACCATCAACATAAACTCCTGCCTGCTCTAAATGCACAATGCACTGAAGCAACGGCTGGGCAAGGAGTGTACCCTTAGTCGCTCCTTTTGATGCGAATACTGCCACCGGTTGTAAATAGATGTCAGCAAAAGGAGCAAAAGCAAACACTAGACCATGGTCGGCCAGCTCATTGCTTTGTCCACCTTGGTCTCCATAGTCAACAAGTCCAGCATATGTCATGTTCTTCGAGTTTACAGTCATCTCTTTCCTGACTTGTATCTCATCTAGAATGAGCATACCTCTGCGTTGAAAGGGAGTCTTCTTTGCCAATTTAATTTTGAGAGCTTTAAAAAAGTGCTCATCAAAACCACATTTGAGCCCCACCATGCTTATATATCTTCTAATGGTGGATGTGCATGGCATTGGCAATATGTTATTGCTTCGTAAATATGCGTAAGTAGAGGGGCTCCGGTTCAGCAAGAGGCATAGCAGCAGCCAGTCATCTGTATAGCGCCTATTATTTTTTGTAGTGCACTTAGCTGCAGATATACATTCTTGCACAAGAAGAAACTGCATTGGTGGGATATCGAGAGATTGGAGTTTCTTTGTGATATCCTCCTCTTGCAATTTAATTATTTCAGCTCTACTCTCCTTCAATTCTTTAGTGATTAGATGGTTGCGCTTCAGCAGCCGTGCTTGGGCCTTCTGCAAAAGAGACCTTGCATGACGCAAAGAATCAACTTTGTGTTTTTTGGTAGGTGAGACAGACAGCCTGATGCGCTTCAGTGGTCGCCTCTGTTTCACTCGAGCAGCTTGCCGCTCTGCATGGATTCTGAGGGTATCAAACAGACTGCTGCATGCACGACATATACTTCCCTCCGGTAACAACATTTGGCACCTTTTATGCCTCCATTTGCTTTGGCAGTCAACGAAAGCAGACTCAGGCTCCACAGAAGGAAAGTCCTTCAAACTAGGTCCCCCACCACAGAAACGTACACTGTCAACAGTTTTCAAGAGATGTTCAACTTGTGATGTCGATTCAGCAACATTATTTACACCCACTGCACTATAATCAACCGGCTTGCCAAATATATACATTTGCACAGCCATGTCACTATTTACATGCACAGTTTTTCTGTTAAAAAGCACACATGCCCCATCACTTGCGCGCAGCAGAGAGGCGTCGTGGAACACGAGGTCACGATACCCTTCCAAGTCAATGCGATGTACACCCCACGATGGCGTCGGAAGGCACAAAGTTGACGCTGCGCAGAACATTTCATCAAAAGCTGAAGTGCCGGGGTCACTTGCCGCGACGACATCGCTGTTTTTGTTGACTTCATCTGAATTTTGGGCTGTTGCTGCTTGTTGCTGGGTTTGAAACCCGATGCTGGTACCGCTGCTGGTCCCGCCTGTGCACGTAGAGCAAACTGTACGGCAAGCATGCCGCCTTGACTGTTTTCGAGGAGTCTTCATCTTCTTTGACAAATAACTAGGCGCTCCTTCAAAAATAGTTGTCAGGGCGTCCTTTGAAAGTCCTGCTCTTCTGTTGCCAGACATCAGAACGTGGTCATTCAGTTTTGCAGACCACGTTTTCAAAATAAAATGTGGAGCGAAATGTTTTTCGCACACACGGTCTGTTCGTTGAAGCACGCGGTCTTTGCGAGGGATCGCCCGCCTCCATGCTTCAAGCCGGGCTTGGTCGTGCGGTGGCGTAAACTTTTCTTTACACGACTTATAGCCGGTATTGCAGTAAGGTACAAAGCACTTACCCATCGCGAAGCACACTAAATCACGCGACCACGTTCACAAACACAAGTCACATTTTCGACGTGAAGCAGCGTTGAGTGACAGGACAGCAAGGGGCGCGCGGCGGGGGAGCAAGCAAGAGGTAGGTGGCTAGTTTGGCGCGCCCTCTCTGGAGGAGCTTCCTAACCAGAACAGCATGTGCCTCTCCTCGCGAAGCCGCCGCTATGCGCCGTTCTCTCACCTAAACTACTCTTATACCGTGGTCTGACTCTTACGGGAGGCTGTTGGCAACACGATTTAAATTTTGTTTGCACACGCTGGCAATTTTTGGTGTGTTTATTGGTAGAAAGTTGCACGTTGGATTCAATTTCTAAGTTGAGAATAAAAATTCGCTTGCACCTCCTCCAACTAAGTAATGCTGCCATATTAGTTGCCACTGGCTAGAATAATTTAATTTATTTTCCTTGCAGAGGCTCAAGGTCGTGCCATGGGCTTATTCAGGTAGTCTGTACCCATTATTTTGGGCATGGCTGATAATGTTAGTTTTTTGATTGTATGTCACCCGGACTATACGGCGGTTTTTTGTGGCCCTCTGAATGTCATACAATTGGGGTTTCACTGTACTTATCAGATGATGAAACTTGGGCTGCTTCATTGACAATGTAGAATTATACTTCTCAATGATGCAGGTAAAGCTTGCATAAAAGAGAGCTTTAGCAAGTTGTGGAAATATGGTATGCAAACACTGTAGGGCATTCCTCCTTCTCGCTCGGTTTGCTTTTGGGCTCGTTCCAGTGACAGTGAGTTGCCCTAACGACATGTGTCTCATCAACAATGCTTAGGTTGACAGGCAGCAATGAAGTGAGACGACCCCACCCCACAGTACTTTTTGAAAAAGCTTTTATGGTATAGGGGTACCTTCACCAGCATAATATCAATGACCAGGAAAGTAGAAATGGTACCGTCATATGGTGGCATATGTGCGTACCATACTTCCGTAACTCGCTAAAACTCTCTAATGGCACTGTGGAGTTATATATGCAGGGTACACGAACTGGGTATATTGACACGGGCGTGTGACAGTAATATTCTAATGTGCACGTTGATTTACTTTGGAGGTTGCATTCATAATCAGCTCGACTTTTTTCTTGTTTTATTCGATGGCTGCTGGGGACATGCTTAGTTTTTTCTAGTGTTTATGGTTTTGTGTTTTGTTTATGTTTTGGTGTTTGTGTTATTTATGCTGTCTAGTGTTTATGTTTTTGTCACACTGTTCTTGCATAGTACATTGAGAGTTTGCTGTACCTTTAGCTGTGATTTTTGCTGACTGTGCACGTAGCTCGCTATGATAATGACTGCATTCCTGCCACAAGACTGCTTCAGTCTAATCATTTCTTCGTGTGTGCATGTGTGTGTGTGTCTGTTCAAAGATTTTTCTGCGTGTTTACGCATGCTTACTGTAGTATGGGATGATGAAGTGAGTATTGAAAATAGGTTTGTGTCCTGTATTACAGTGTTGAAAAGGAGTGAAAAGAGACTGCAAGCAAACAAACTGTCTTCAGTTAATGTTATGAGCTGCATCGCAATAGTAAGGGGCAAAATATGACACATTTTAAAATTTGCCATACATAGCCTATATAAGGCTGTATTACATGCTTTCAAGCATGAGAAGAAATGTTTACTAAGGTTCAGGTAATAATATGCACACTTAATTTTCAAGTGTGGCAGTGTGGCAGTGTGGATTTTCTTTGAATAGGCGGTTTTGCGACGTGGCAGCTGCAAGCTTTAGTGAAACCTCTTTATCGAGCAAGTTAAATGCACTAAATATGTCCATCTATTTGTTTAAATGCTTCGACATTCTGGAAGTTTTTAATTTTTCTCAGTGTGGACTCAAGTACTGTACTCTATAATGAATATTTAAAGTGCTCTAATATATGCACAAGCCTACGTAATGCGAGATACAGGGCAGTATGTACTACTAGTAACTTATTTGGTAGTGTGCTACATGTTCATGTATTGTTGTGTTATTTCTTTCTGACTAGATTTTGCATATTGCAGTAGTGAGTGGTGTACTTTTCATATATGGACTCTTGGGCAGAACCACTCGGTGTTCATATATGGACTCTTGGGCAGAACCACTCGGTGGTATCGCTCCAAAGTATTCTGCAGCAAAAAAACAAAGAGGAAAGATACTAATGGTACTAGCATTTTCACAGTGCTGTGAACGCAGCTGCTCAACAGAGTTGAGACCTAGAAACAAGCCAGTGTAGGTGCACCAGGCTGGACTAAAGCGAAAACCTAACAAGTCGGTGCAATTCGAAAACAGAAACTGGGTGTATATTGTTCCCAACTTGTGTTCATAAAAAAAAGTTGCATTTGTGTAATTACAATAAGAACCTTCTTTCTCACAGGCTATGTGGCCGAGGATGTGACAGCTTTTATTATTGAATTCTGGATTGTTGTGCAGTGCTTTGTACCTGTCAAAGCTTGAATGCCAGTGTTGTGGCCTTTCAGCCTTCCGATGAGCTCCTTTATCTTACCTATGTTCTCGAGAGGTGCCGGTTTCCAGGAAGCCGCAAGGATATCAAAGATGAGGTGAGTATTTTCCTGTAATTTACTTTTAAGCAGATCACACAGGTAGCATGAAAATCAAGAAATGACAAGTGCATCTTTTCATTCTATGCCTATAGCAAACTGTGCTTGTTTCTATAGCGAAGGGCTATCATGTGCCCGTAACTAATTACAGTTTGCTTGTTTGCTGTTGTCCATTCAGAAAATGGATGCCGTTGGCTCACTGTGGGAAGTACACGTGCATCAGTTGCAACAGGAGCTGTTTGGAAAAGTCAAGCATCGCTACAATTCAAAGGTTTCATTTTTACGCAACACTTTTTCCCTTTTTCCACGATCCTTCATGAACTTTGTGCTTGTTCAACAATCTTTGACAATGAAATGGGGCACAATACTTCGTATGTACCTGAACGTGAAAACAAAATTGATGTGTCACAATCGGTTATGTTTATGCTATCATTAGGCAATACTTCGTGCATGAAAGTTTGTTTGCAACAGATGAAAAAAAAAAAAATACCTTTCAGGCATAGGCTTTTAGCTCTGTTCCGTGATGTTTCCAGTGGTTCTGGAATGTCTATAGTACATCCGGTTGGGTCACTCTGACTTTTGGTTTTTGCAAATACTGATTCCTTGGACAGAAATTGTGAAAGTAGTAAACATAATTTTTCTGTGTTGTACGGAGTGTACTGTAAAAGCAATTCACCACTTGTATGACCTTATATAGAAAGCGCAATTTTGTCATTTTTTTAAAGTAGTGGCAACTTACCGTAATTACTCGAATCTAACGCGCACCTTTTTTACGGTTAAGCGAGTTCATAAATCGCATGCGCGTTAGAATCGAGTACGAAAAAAAATGAATGCGGTTATTCTATTGCCGTCGGCATTTTCAAAATGGCCGCCCACTACGTGCGTCGGCATGGCGCATTGGCCATTTCTGCCTATGTGTTTCTCATGTGCGGCACTTCGTACGTGTGCTGAGGAGTTCGTCATCTTGTAGTGCATTTGCATCGACGGCATGGAAGGGCCGACTCCAAAGATTCGAGTGCACCACGATGCCGCTTTTAAAAGAAAAGTCATCGGGTGTGCAGAAACAGACGGAAATCGGGCCGCATTGCGGTCGTTTGGAGTTCCTGAAACGTGCGTGCAGGACTGGCGGAAACAAAAGCAGAAGATTGTCGACAGCAAAGCTTCACGCAAAAGCTTCAATGGACCACAGCAGGGTCGGTTTTCGCAAATTGAAGAGCTGTTCGGCCAGTATGTGCTTGAGCAGCAAGCGGCACAGAGGCCCGTGACGACAAAACTGTTCCAAGTGTGGGCTATGCAGTTAGCCTTAGAAAAAGGGCTAATGCGGAGCCAGTTTAAAGCGAGCAGGTGCTGGCTAACTAACTTTATGAAGACGGCTTTTCCCTCCGAAGGTGAACGGGCATATGTGAAAAGTTTTGCGGAGGAGTACGATGAAAAGCTTCACAGTTTTCAGAGGTTCGTCTTAAACTTGCGGCGAAACGGCTACCTGCTTGGGCAAATCGGAAATGCCGATCAGACGCCTCTTTACTTCAACATGCCTGGCACCACAACCGTCGAGAAAAAGGGGGCGAAGCAAGTTCGTGTGCTGACATCAGTCCACGGTAAAACTACAGTGAAGGCAATGCTCTGTGACACGTCAGATGGGCACACGCTTCCCCCGTACCTTTTAATTAAATGGAAGACGCTCCCGAAAGGAGTTAATTCTTCGAATGGTGTGATCGTGCGGGTCAGGGAGAAAAATGGGTGCGCGTTGCAATCGATGTCTTACCTTTTTTTTTTTTGTCGTGGAAATCGGGTGCGCGTTACAATCGAGGGCGCGGTAGAATCAAGTGAATACGGTATCTCTCTGGTAACCTTCAGTGGTCATGGTCATGAGGTTCAGTGGTATGATTGGCACGTACATATTATCGCACTTGCTTCATAGGCAGAGCATGACAGAGGGCGTCTTGAATGCTGAGGGTGTCTTGATGAAATGATACTTTGCTTATATAATCACAGACCACGAACGCTCTCTTACCTTTTACGAAGAATGTCACAGTAGCACACTGTGAATTTATATTGTGGGTAAGTGTGTCATGCAAAAGGTTATTGTTTTCAGCTATTAACGGAATGGAGACAGAACGCGTAAGTTTCATTTGCCTCATCTTTATTTTATAGGATTTGGGACTGCAGTGTGGTAGCATCAACACCGACAGCAGCCAACTCTTGGAAGCCTTAGAGGTATGCCTATTGAAGATATTGATTGTATTTTGATCAATGAGTGGCAAAATGCAATGTAAATTTACTTGTCAATACCATTGTTATACAGTTTAGGAATTTGTGATTAGTAATTCACTTGTATGATACAGCTATGACATGTTTTAAGGAAAAACACCTAGTTGCTAATTTGTATTCAGTGTTCATAGTGCAACAATTACTAAAACCATGGTGACATCACAGTTGCCTTAAACTCAGTGAGTGTATCTTAACGTGCAGTCTATGTATAACAGATGCTGTTTTGATGTCACAGAAAGACCTAAATAAGTAGGTTAATGTGTTTTTATTGCAGGTCTGGCTTTTTCTTGCTGTCGAGGGGTCAGCAACTTTTTGAAGCTAAGGGCCAAGTTGAATTAATTTGACACTGCAGGGGCTGGACCGCAAATCTAGGGTGAAGTAATGAAGGGGCTTTGCAGACCGAAAGTAAATATGGCAAATCGACAATTGTGTAAAAAAAAAGTGGATTGATGTCACGTTTATTTTCAGCGTGCCTCAAGAAGGTTGCAGTAAACATAGGTTGCAAGCAAAAACCCAATTTTCGGTCAACGGTGCCACGTCGACGTTCAAATGAAAAGTGATCAAGGGAGGGGGAGATGGTTTCAACATCGTGCCGGAAGTCACGAAATGGGGTCCTGTGGATCGCAGGTCGCTGACCATTCAGTCAGCCTCAAATAGATAGGAGCCTTAGATTGATAGGAAAGAGAAGAAATGACTGCACACCACTCATGGTATCTTCTCATGCTATGTGCAACCCTGTCCACTTATGCAAACAGCTTGTTTTGCTGCTAGTATTGTAATGTACATGTACCCCGTAGGCCCTGGAAATGGTGTGAACTTCTTAATTCATCAAGGCTTGATACCATTTTCACAGTGCCATATGGGCAAACTTGATGTCATTTGCTACTTACTGCATTCACCAGAACACATTTGATTGCTAAATGTGTACTCTCAATGCCATAACTTGGACTGTGGAGCAACTATAAAGAATTAGAAATAGAACTTATCGTGTAAAAATTACGGTGATTAGCCACTGTCATGTTATTCCGTAGATGCACTTGATGAGATTCAGTTTAACTTTGCAATGGCTTCAACATGGCATCTGCCACGATGCTTCTGGTCTTCAGATACAGTATGCAATGGCTGAATCTGTGATGGTCAGTTGCTACGTTGTAAAAAGCAGTGACAAGTTGAAGCTAATGAAGCCCTAGCTTGCTTATTTCTGATTTTATTAGCCTCAAGTGCAGATTAGGCTTGTCACAAATGCATTCAAAAGTGTTGTGACTAGGGTGAGTTGGTTATCCATGAACTTAGCCTGTATTAGTGCGGCACCAAAGAAATGCAAAAAAGGAACAGACGACACCAACGTCAAGAAAAGAGGCCCTAAACTTCCAACTGTTTATTTCATGCCCTTCACATCCATCTTATACATGCCTTATACATTCCTTTTTTTTTGTTTCTTATACCGGTGACACATGGGCACTTTTAATCGCGATCAGGGCGATACGGATCAGTTTTCTTGATCGCAATCAACTTTATGACCGCTGCCACACGGCCCAAGCTAATACTGTTCAAGCTTGGGTCAGATGAAATGCCCCAGGTGGCATTTGCGTGCCGTAAAACATGCCACTGACAAAACTCGGCGTACAATATATCTATAGAGCCCTTTATCAGCAAAGTTATTTGTGCAAAAACTGCTAGTACGTCAAAAACTTTGAGTGCCACTACAATAGCAATTTCATAAATCCATCATTCCATAAAATTTTTCTTGCACTTACCTGTATTGCTGTGTGAGATTCTTAACCTTCGCTTTTATTTCTAATGGCCCCCGCCCATAGACGTGTAGTCGCAGCGAAGGTCAATCTTGTTGTACGCGCCAGTGTTTCACTTCTGACGCCTTAAGTCTGTTCCAGTCGCTCCTGCCAGGGGTCAATTACTGTAAAGATCTCTTCGTTCGACCACAAAGTGCGCGTATATTGCGACGTTCTCGAAAGGCTTGTGACACTCATCCCCGCAGGGGCGCCTGCGCAAGTAGGCATTTGGTGTGTAGCGACACCACGGACCCGGGCTAACGGAAGAGTTTCTACTCCCTCCCACGCCTAGCCGTACGTAGCTTTGCCGTGTCCGGGGAAAAGGGGATCCTGGCGGTAGAGCCGACGCTGGGTGATTGGACCGTTACGGCCCCCCGGCAGAGGCAACACACCCCTTTGGCCCCGGCTTCACGTAGACGGCACTCCTGGGCTGACCCACCCAGGGGAAATCGGCAGTCGCCTTTTCCTATCTCTCTCTCTCTCTCTCTCTACATTTTCGTCTTTATCTCTTACTATTTATCTGTCCTGTCTTTTACTCTCTTCCGTTTACTTCCAAACTTCCTGGCGGCTAGGGTTAACCCTGTGCAAATAGCCTACCTTAGTCTAGGCGCATTGGGTTATAGTGGCGTTGTACGGCTGGCGTCTGCAGGTTTCAGCATCCGCAAACTTGCAGCGTCCCCTCGCTGGGCTCCGTGGTGGGTGGCCGCCAACGCTGCTGAACAAAAAATAAGACAGGCATGCATAGAGCATTCCCCCTACTGTCTGATCGTACCGGCTTAAAGCGGGTACGCACCGATGATATAAACTTTTTTAACCAGCCCAAAGAAACATATCCTCACTATCATGTTATCCACTGTGAAAAAACTGAAAAGCAAGCCAGAATTGTCTCTCCTTTCCTGGTTTCTAGATGTCTTACCGAAACTCTTGGCACAGGATACAAAGTAACCAAAATGGCTAGTGGAGACCTTCTCCTCGAAATCCGTGACAAAGAACAATTTGAAAAGCTAGACCGTCTTTCAGATTTCGGTGGCATATCAATAACCATAACACCACATAGATCTATGAACACAACTCGCGGAGTGGTATCTGACATGGACTTACTTGACTTGACTGAGACTGAACTTTTGGAGGGGTGGAAGAGCCAAAATGTCACTAATGTACAGAGAATCATCATTAGAAGAGATAATAAAGAAACACCGACGAAACACTTAATACTCACATTTGCATCCAGTAAACTACTGGAATCTATTCAAACAGGGTACACAAAGACATCTATCAGGCCGTACATACCAAACCCTCGTCGTTGCTTCCAATGCCAGAGGTATTGCCATGGCTCTAAAACCTGTCGTGGTCGCCAGACTTGTGCACAATGTGGAATCCTAGGCCACTTGTCTGAGAACTGCAAACAACCGCCACACTGTGTAAACTGCGAAGGAAACCATGCCGCATATTCACGCTCCTGCACATACTGGAAAAAAGAAAAAGAAATAATTACGTTGAAGGTGAAGGAGAACATTACATTTAAGGAAGCACGGCGAAGAGTCGCTCCATTCTATGGGCCTACATACGCTGATGCGGTGCATCAGGGGGCACCGCCGCACTAGCCCTCGCCACTCCTTCGGCCCGGGCATACCGAGCCGGTGGTTGTGGCACCTGCCCCCAAGGCGGCTGTAGCCCAGGCTACACCGCCTACTCCCAGACAGAGGCCGGAGACTCCAGAGTCCTCCGGTCTCAAGGCTTCACCTCACCAGGCGAGGCCCGAAATTCGAATTAACAGCCCGCACGTCCGGGCATCCAGTGCCTCCGAGGAGGCAATGGATACGTCGGCACTCTTGGTGCCGAAAGAGCGGCGTGGGTCCCTGGAGCGCGTCAAGAAAACAAAAAAGCAGATAACAGGGCCTGGTGATGGCCCTGTTAAGTGAACTCAAACTCCCTGTCTAAACAACCACTCGCTTTTCGTACACACAGCACTATTTCACATTCACCATGAACACTCAAATTATATAATGGAACGTCAGGGGCCTTCTCAGAAACCTTGACGACATCCAAGAACTCTTACATGAACACTCACCAAAAGTGCTGTGTGTACAAGAAACACACCTTAATTTAAAACACACAAATTTTCTTCGTAAGTACGTTATTTTCCGAAAAGACTGTGTTGATGCCATGGCATAATCCGGAGGTGTTGCCATCATAGTGAATCGAGGAATAGCATGCACACACTTACAACTCCAAACATTCCTTGAGGCAGTGGCTGTTCGAGCGGTTCTTTTTGATAAACTGATCACAATCTGCACTATTTACATTTCTCCTAGCTATCAGCTGCAAGAACGCGATTTACACTCTCTAATTGATTAACTTCCGGAGCCTTATGTTCTCCTTGGAGACTTTAATGCGCATAGCAGGCTATGGGGTGACTCTCGGTATGACGCGCGAGGTCGACTGATCGAACAGTTCCTTATCTCATCGAGCGCGTGTCTCCTAAATCGAAAAGAACCAACCTATTATAACCTCACTAATAACACCTACTCCTCCATAGACCTGAGCATAGTATCTCCATCTCTTGTGCCTCTACTCCAGTGGAAAGTCGTCAGTAATCTGTATGGAAGTGACCACTTCCCCGTAGTTTTGAGCACGACGACAGTAACTGAGTGTCCACCACGTGTTTTCAAGTGGCTCATAAACAGAGCCGACTGGGAACAGTTTTATACTATCGCTTGTCTAGGTTGGAATGACATCTGTACTTTGAACATTGATGTTGCTGTGAACTACTTCACAGCGTTTTTGATTGATGCTGCAACAAAATGCATCTTACAAACAAATGGACACCCTGGAAAACGACGTGTGCCATGGTGGAACTCTGAGTGCTGAAACGCGCGCAAACAGCAATACAGAGCTTGGAGGCTGCTTCGGAACTCACCGACAGCCGAAAATCTTGAAACCTTCAAGAAAATAAAGTCTCAAGGCAGGAGAACGCGTCGGCAGGCCAGATGAGAAAGCTGGCGGAAGTTTTTATCAGGGGTTAATTTATACGCACAGGAGGTTAAAGTCTGGAACATGGTCGGTAGGATAGCAGGGAAACAAGTACACACACTTCCACTCGTAAACACTCAGAGTGATACCTTGGAAGATCAGGCAAACTTCCTCGGTGCACAC